AATGTTCTTGTTAATTATTATTATTATTATTATTATTGTTATTAATATTACATATGTGTTTTATATCTCTGTATGTTTGGTTGTCTGGGCATAGGTTTGTGTGTGCCTCTATTGGGGTTGATTTCTAAATGAATAATGACTGTTTGCTTATCTTCACTGAGCTTAGTAAAGAAGATGAAGCTGTGTTCACTTCAATTAACCAATCATATTCTAGCAAAAAACCTTTGCATCTGATTGGGTATTTGAAGTGAACCACAGCTTCACCTGTTTGTCACATTGCTAAGTAAACAACCACCTTTAGTAAAACCACCCAAATGTGTGCATATGTAGAGTGGCAGAGGATACTGACATCTTGAAGCATGAGATGAATTGGCACCGTAGGATATTCTGACAGATGCATCCCTGTTATAACACACACACAGAAGCACAGTACATTGGTCATGCAGGTGCAGTAAAGGGCGACACCGGTTTTAGAAAAGCTTGATAAAATGTCAGATGTCACTCACTATAAGGGCTTTCATTGTGAACACCATTGATCTTCCCATCCGGGAGGACCTGCAGGTGAAACCCAATTCCCACGTTGCAGTAGAGCCTCCGTTGTCTCTTAATTCCCTGCAAATAATTGTTCTTCCACTTGGCATCAAATCGGTCGGAAGGGATTCCCATCGACCTGGAGAAAAGCAACTCCAACGTCCTCTCCAGTGACGTCCCATTAGGCCTGTTTGGGATAGGGTACGATGAAACCATCCCAACCACGGTGCCCAGCAGCAGGAGAACAGGCAACGTCCAGTGAATCCCGACTCCGTGGGACATAGTAATGAGAAGCCTTTGTGCAACGGCCATCCGGTTCACCGTCTGGACACGTGATCAGAATTGATGGCCCTAAAAATACCGCCCTCCTTGTTTTTCTGTCTTCAGCATGGCGGCGGGAGCTTATTTTTGGAAGGCAGAGGGGGCTTGCTGACATGAAACCAAACCCTGAGAGTAAATGAGGGACGAAAACACAGAGTCCAACATACTCCAAAGTGGCAGGGACCATGTTTTGTAGCTCCCGAGGACTTGTGGGCAGCTTAGCTATATCTGCTTGGCCTATCTTTATACTTCAGAGGCTGTCCTAACCTGCAACGTCATTGTGACATCAATGCCATGCCGATGGTAAAGTGGCAATATAGAAAGAGACTTAGCACTAACCTGTTCAGCCTCTTCGGCAGCCAGCCCTGGGTTTTTTTTTTAACTAAAGCTGCTACCGGCAGGTCGGAGCTGGGATGAATTACACAGGATATCTTTCTGAAAATGTTACATGTGGAAGGGCCCCCTTCAAGGTCCAAATTGGTTGAATGGTCAGATGTCTAGCAGGCAGCTTCCTTATTTAGAGCACAAGAAGTTAAAACAGTCCTTTGCCTCATCGCTGAGCAATGATAATCCTGCAAGCACTTCCTCATTAGCATGTCCACTGAGTTAACGTTGGGATAACTGAACTCAGATAGTCGAGGCATGGACAGGGCCGTAGGCGATCTCCCCCCATGTCTTGCTATCTCCTGCAAGACAAGAAAAGAATCCTGGCCATAAATTCTCACTTCTAATTGTAACGGAATGACACAGTCTTTGTCGGGGATTATTACATTAGATTCGCACCCTGCAGAAGTATCTGAAGACAGACAATTTGTAGTTATTTGAATGCACTTGTATCAAAATGGAATGCACATTTTATTCCACCTAAGCTTTAGTGAGAGTTTAAACCCCAGCTATACAGCTGCATCCCTTCCTCTCTCTCTGTAGACATTGACATATCTGTGCTGCAAGACCAATAAGTGCCTCTATAACTACATACCTACTTTATATATATATATACTGAGTGGCCAGATTATTATGACCACCTGATGTTTGTAGGCAAATTAGCTATAATTTGGCACTGAAGTTGCTAGAGGGCCAGACCATTATAAATAGGGAAGCGGGTTGTTTACCACGACAGTAGAAGTGATTCTTTTCTGAAGATATAGGTAAACAACGCGATTTAACAGCCTTTGAACGTGGGATGATTGTTGGCGCTCGGAGCCATGGAGCGAGTATCAGCAAAACAGCAGAATTCAGCAGAAGAAGAGCAGCTGTTGTTAGTGTTTAAAGACTGGACTGTCAGCCGAAAATCTGGGTCTGAACCTGCAAATTGTGGCCGTCAGCGACTAGTCAATGTTAGTGCCTGAACAGAGAGTGGCAAGACTGGTACAAGACAACAGAAGGGCAACAGTGCATCAAATTACTGCAGATCTTAATCAGGGATCCTCTCAAATGATCTCTGAACGCACTGTTCGCCGTACACTGCATCGTATGGGATATGAAAGCCGAAGGCCTGTTTGAACACCTTTGCTGTCTGCAGTTAACAAGATAAAACGTCTCCAATTCGCACAGGAACACAAGGATTGGACAGTCGAGCATTGGAAAAAAGTCATGTGGTCAGATGAATCACGTTTCCAGTTGCATCATGCAGATGGCAGAGTGAAAATTTGGCGGAAACAGCATGAAAGCATGCACCCCACATGCATGAGTACAAACGTTCAAGCTGGTGGGGGCAGTGTTATGGTTTGGGGCATGTTTTCCTGGCATGATTTGGGCCCTTTCATTTGTGTGGAACAACGTCTGAACAGCACAACATACCAAAGTATCTTTGCTGATCAAGTTCATCCTATCATGTTGATGGCGCATCCCAATGGGGATGGCTTCTTCCAACAAGACAATGCACCATGCCACGGTGCTCGTATTGTGCAGGAGCGGTTTCAAAAACATGAGCGAGAGTTTACCTTGCTTAGGTGGCCCCCACAATTCCCAGATCTCAATCAAATTGAGCATTTGTTGGACGAAGTTGAAAGAGCCATCAGGCAGCTGGTTCCACAACCATCAAATCTCACAGAACTGGACAGTGCTATTCATCAGGCATGGTGTCAGATTCCTCGCATCACCTTTCAACATCTCGTGGAGTCAATGCCAAGAAGAATCGCCGCAGTATTGAAGGCAAAAGGTGGCCCGACTAAGTACTGATGGGGTGGTCATAATAATCTGGCCACTCAGTGTATGTATACACTGTATATTCAGCTACCAAAAATGTTATCCTAAACCTTAAAAGAGAACTATGGGGTAACCTTTTTATCCCATAGTTCTTCTCTTAAGGGTCACGGGAGGACATATACTAACCTCCTCCCATTACCCAAAGCTCAGTATATAGCGATCTATATACTGAGAGCGCCGCAGCCGGGATGGATCCTGACAATACTGTCGAGATCCATCAAGCTGGCTGATTGACAGCGAGCTCTGCAGGGAGATGATCGGAAAGTAAGCAAGCGACAGTATGCGTTCGCTCACTTCCAGATCAATAGAGTCGAAGTGTGACAGTTTCATTGTCATAGGTCGGCTCTAACTATGAGGATGAGTGAAAATCACTCACCGCATAGTTCACCTTTAAGTGACCGTTCGCACCATCTGGTGTGTTCATATCACAGATCCGTGACATGAACACAATGGATCGCATAATCAAAGTCTCCATGCGTTCTGGGGCAGGAGGGGGCGTTCATTTCAATGGCACAGCAGACACACCTCCCGCCTGCAATGCAATGACCCACACCAGCAATGCCCTGCGTTCCAGTGAAGTGCGATCGCAAAAAATAGTGCATGCAGAACGCGGGAAGGCTTTGATTATGCGACCCAGTGTGTTCATGTTACGGAACTGTGACAAGAACGCACTAGATGGTATGAACTGTCCCTTAAAGAGGGACCCCCCTGCTTCTTCTCCCCTATCCCCTCTTACCTGTTGGGCTCTCACCAGAAAACATTCTCACCTGCCCAGTGAATTCAGCACTGTTCTGCTGTGATCTCGGATGGTGACGCACCCATTCAGTATTACAACTGAAGGGAGTGAAGGGAGATCTCCCCAAAAGGTACACAGAATGATAGAAACCTAAAAACAACTTTGTAAATGTATCTAAACACTCAGCTGAATTATAAATGTGAGCTATAAAAGCTGCCAAAATTTCCACTCTGCCAGCCTTGGAATCCAGATACCGATGCCGCAAAGCATAGTCCGGTTAGTGACTTCTCTTTTCTTCACTGCTTTTAAAGCACACCCAAAAACAAAAATTCAATACAGTGGAGCTTATCAATTGTTAGATGTGGTGGCTGCATTTGTTTACCTTTTTTGGCTTGTTGTCCTTTATTTTCACCTGGTGATCCAGCCAGTAAGTCTTCATTCCTTTAACAGGCCAAGCTGTCTAGCAAAGAGTGCAGATAGAGACAAAGCATTTATTACTGACAGGGGTGCTTGCAATGGTCAGCTTTTCTTCATGTATCCCAAAAGGGGATAGATTCTGGTTCAAATCCCAGTAAAATCTTTGTGGACTTTGCATGTTCTCCCTGTGCTTGCATCTGTTTCCTCCCACACTCCAAAGACATGCTGCAAGGTTGGCTCCTGTCTAAACTGGCCCTGTATGTATGCATGTGAGATAGGGACCTTAGATTGTAAGCTCCTTGAGAGCAAGGATATATATAAATACCAATAATAAATAAATAATAACATGTGTCCCACATTCAGGGGCTGGTCACATTGCATGCCCCTTACCTGAATCATGGGGTTCTTCTCCCCAAAGACTGCTCCTTTTTTTAAATCTGGTGGAGCTGCGTATAGCTCCAGCACATAAACACGCCATCCATTCCCTGATCCTATGACAGGATCTGTGAATGGAGAAACTACAAGTCCCGTCTGCAACAAGAGCAGAGGGACTTATAGATGTCAATGGAATACAAGTGCGGTGACGTCACCGCACTAGTAGTCCACTGACACTTCCTCCTGTCCCTGTCACTGAATGGCCCTACCTCGGCATGGACAGGGATGAGAGAACAAGTCGGCAGGAGGCAGAGCATTGCACCCACGAACCACTCATCACATTTGCAATGCTTTAGTGGCTCCAAAGCCAAAAAATAATAAATGCAAATGTTTTTCTTTTATAAACATGTTTATTTTATTTTGCATCTATTTTATTTTTAAAGGTGGACTTTAGCTTTAAATAATAGAGTTCTCTTGTTAGTGAAGGAGTCATTGGGATATGAGCAGTGATGGCTTATTATCTGGCTAAGACTTTTGCCTCCCTTCCCCTACATGACCATACAGGTAAAACTGCTGTTTCCCATGGCGTGACAGCACTGACTCTGTCGCCCTAACCTTAAATCACACATGAAGCAAATTGAACTCCGGAAAAAATGCAAGCCTTGCCATCCGGGATGACAGGTTTTGATTGACAGACGTGCCCAGCATCCCTTTGATGTTGCGCAGCCTTAGACAACAACATGTAACTGCCACCTTGCACATACTTTGGGATCACAGCAGTAAAATTAGATCAGAGATGCCACTTATCCCAGCACTGAGCAGAAAACCAGAAGTTACACACTGGGTTGGGCTGAAAAACAGCTGTACCTAGAACCTTTGTATATGTATGTGTTCAGATGACTGGGAATGTGGGTGACTGGATGGATGCAGCCAGAACAGTAGAGTTCCAGAAACTTTTTCAAATGCATTTGTCATTCATCCACTATCTTCGTGACAGATATCTATTCCTAGGGAGCTCCAAATTTCCCCTTTGCACTGCCAGCACAGTGCCTCTGCTGCACTGAAATCCTGACTAGCATTATCAATGCCTGCTGGACTGCAGAACTACGCCTATCCCCAAGTCCTCTCTGTCCCTCTCCACATGCATACATTGATTTTTTCCAGCAAAACAAACAAAGCTGCCTTGACTCTCAAGAGGCTGCTCACACACTGTGTCTAAGGATAGGGCTCTTGGGAGATGTAGTTCTGGGGGTGT